TATCTAAATATATGTGTATGTGTATTTTAAGTACTTATTTAGTTTTAGAGATATCTGTATTTATTTGTTGGCCCGTAGGCCGCACGGGAAGAGTTTTTCTAGAGACAGAAGTGCTTAGAGGCAAATCAAATTTAATTGAGCTACATTTAGATTACATAGAGGCTGATTTTCATATATAAATATATGTATATGTATATATACTAAAGGCGTCCGACTGCATTGATATACCCTTGAAGAGAGAGTGTCTAGAAATTGATATGATAACTCATACAAGTTGTTCATATAACTCTATATATGTTCTATGTAGACCCAGATCGAATTAATGTGGTCACTGTTAGTGTGAGGAAGGAAAGATTATCATATATGTACTACATGAACTCAGCTCTGGCTTATGTTTTTCAGCTGAAAATTGGCCTAGGATCAGTTGATAAATTTAGCTGTCACATATATTAATATCATCCACATCAACAGGTATATATGTGTATTCGATGCGATCTAGTTGAAAGGTGATATGATTTTCCATATGAACTCAGCTTTGGATCATCCAGATCTAGCTGATAGTTTCTATAGAGTCGGCTAATATATAGAGCACTAAAGTATTTCAATATCAGCTCAGCTCAAGGCTCTATGAATTTTGACATCTTCATTTTTTACATAATCAGCTATCAATTCGATTCCCCTAATAGTGAATCATTATATATATGTATATATAGCTATATAAACTATATAATATTGTAACTAATTTTACTATAACATGGATCTCTTCCAGGGTATTCAAGCTTCGGCAGCCCGAAGTTTAATCATATTTTAGAGCTAATTTGACACAACCGTTTATATAATTCAACTATTCGTATATGATTCATTCGAATCCATATAGTTTTGCCCACTCTCAAATCAAAAATCGAAAAAGATTCGTTGCACGTATTTATATTTTTGCTTTTGCGTTTGTAGAATTTCACATCGCCGCAACCCGAAAGTATGCTATGAAAAATTTACTTGCTATGAAATGCGTATACGCCGTGTTGTTCATGTGTGTGAGTAGAAATTATATGCAATATGAAACATAAAAACCAAAAGAGAATAAAACAAACACAGATATAATTTTTTTTTTGTTTCGGGCTCTCATTTATTTGTTTTGACAATTGTTAATTGTGGGTTAACTTTCAAAATTTAGAAAAAACTTCTATACAATATATACATACACGGAAATGGCAACGAATTTAGTACATAATCTAAGCCAAACCAATTGGAATGATAAAAATATGCTTGTCAATATTATAGACAGAGTGAAATACATGTAGAAGAAACGTATAAAATTTTGCAAACTGCTTGAGTGGTGGCCAAATTTTTAAAAGGCAATTAATGTGATCGACTTTCATTTAGAATCTTTCATTATTTATAGAAGAACTACGAAATCGGAACGCCAAATTATTGAACCCGAAACCAATTAGATTCGATATTTATACTTCTCTATGATTCTATACACGAACTTACTACTCGACATAGATTCGATTCGCCTGGGTTTGGGCTACAGTTGAAGCAAAAAGAAGGAGCACATAAGCTATATAGCACGACCTGAGAAGAGAGTCGAGGTTATGGATTATTGCTATTTTTTTTAACGGGGTGTCTTCTTGTGGTACATATATATAGATTTATATATATGCATAGTGAAAATCGTGTTTTCCTGAAGAATTCCTGAAGAAGTTTGGATATGCTTTTATCTCTCTTGTCTCTCGTTATTTCCCTCATTCTCCTGCCTGTCGACTTAACTGAGGCTTAGCATTTCCTATTCTCGTTCTCTCTATGCGACAATGCGGGAAACGAAGTAGCGAACTGCTGCTACTCTGCCTATTAAGGGTCCTAATGGTCCTAGTGCTCAATTCAACGACTGCTGTTAGTCTCTGGTTGTTCTTGTGGTTATGCTTGTTGTTTTTAGATGTTGCTGTTGCAACGTATCTGCAGCCCATTGGAAACACTGGATTGGCAACGAAATGAACAGAACAATAGTAACGAAAATAAAGGGAAACAATTAAACAATTTGAACTCGGAAACAAAATAAACGAAAAAATTATGAAACTAATTTGCAAGTGTGTGTGGATGAGCTGTGTCGTGTTGTGACTGTGTGTTGTGTATGTGAGAGAGAGTGAGCACCACCAATGCTGCATAAATGATTCTCTTTTCTTATTGGTTGCCGCTGCCTTTGCTGCTGTAGTTGTTGCTGTTCCTCTCATCTTCGTTTGATACACTCATTCTTAGCTATTCCAGCCGTAGCACTGCATCCATCTCGCTTGCTCGCATGCGCACTAGTGTTCTCTTCTTGACTTGATCTTTTACAGCTACCTCTCAACTACAGCGTGTGCTTTTGTTCTTGCATTCACTTTCGTATTTACTTTCGCATTCGCTTTTGCTTCTGCCTTCACGTTCGGTTATAGCACATTGCATTTGCACTTCATTTCTTCCATTTGTCTTCTTCATTTCTTCAGTTGCAGCGCTGCTGGTGCTTCTGCTGCTGCTGTGTCTGTGTGCGGATGTGGGTGTGTGTATTCAGTATGGCTGTGTGTATTGATTTGCTTTGGTTAGACTAGAGGGAGACCCGCATTGAGTTCGACTACATGGACATGCGCCAATTCGTCACAGAGATGTTGTTTTTGCTGTTGTTGCGGTTGTTGTTGTTGGTGCCATCGTCAAACTCCCAAGCGCCGTGTGGCGGCGCATGATGCGGCATCGGTGGCTGAGTTTCTAACGGAAAATTAAAATGGATCTTTGGAATTGGGAATGAATCAGATTTATGCGGGCAAACGCAATATGCAAAAGCAAATAGCAAGAAACGATCAAATTTTACAACTAAAAAGCAAATAAGAAAAAACTAAATAATAAATAAATAAAAAGAATTTGTTCTAGTGTTTTTTATGCATCTTTTTTTTTTTTTTTTGCTAAAATTATTTAAGTAGCTGTTGCTTTATTGTTTTCATTTTGCCTTTTTTACGTACGATACCCTGAATTTATTATGAAGATCCCTTGCAAAGGTATAATAATCCTTATATGGTATAATAATCGGATCGATTTGGTATATACGCCGCTACCATATAATTTCGAATATTACTAAACCTGAAGGCATTTCCACAATTTCAGGGTATCTGCTAGTCGGGCACTGCCGATTAGAGCATTCTTAGTTCTCTTTTTAGCTTTATTTGCTGTATTTCTGTGTGTGTTTGTCTTATACATGTTTAATAATTGTGATGATCATATATATATTATATAGATAACTGTTGACCGACGATCCTCACTACAATCATATACAGTCAAAATGCATATTGTTTATTAAACGATCTATTCTCTT